TGGCCCTGCCGGTCCACGCGGGATCGGCCCAGACACGAACAAGGCGGAGTTTTTCCGCCTTCTGGGATGCCGCGCGAGCCGCACACCTTGCGGGAGCCGATTAGGAAGTTTTTTTTTGGAATTAAGTGGGGAATTTGAATGTAGGGACTTTTTAGGGATTTCCTTTTGATTTGTATGCATTAAATAGTTGATTTTTCTAGGGTTTGGATATCTTAAATTTGGCTGAAATTTGAGATCTCTTAGATTTAGGTTTTCTTTGGGCTCTAGCAGCGTCTAGAGATTTGGGAGAGATCGATCCTCCTCTCGAATTGAGGATCAATTGTATCTTTGCTGTTTTCCTTGATTTTCTAGTGAAATACAAGCATATTATTGTGTTTTTCTTCCCGTTTCCCTATTTTCTGCTGAATTCCTGCTGTTTGGTTGCTGTGGACAGTAGTTTACTGCTGAAATTTTACTGATTTGGATTAGGAATACTTGCGAACACAAGTGTTTCCTATCAGACTTTCATGTGCATCAAACCATCTCTGTGATAACCTAGAATTGTATTAATTTCGTTACATTGTAATATTTTCACTTGCTTGTTAATTATTTTCTGCATTAATCTTTACTTTTCACTTTGCTTGTTATTTATTCTCTCCACCCCCTCTCTCCTTTCTGCACTCTTGTGGAGATGAACTTTCCAAATAAGCATGTAAAATAGTCAGATTCAACTCCAGCTAATAATAATGCATAAATTTCACCTAATACGGCATTTGTGTTTTCCTTTGCAAAATAAATTCATCAGTACCTTCAAATAATCACGACAGAATCACTTTCGAATAAAGAACTGAGCCAACTATTAGATATCTAACTGGTAAGCATGACAAGATTTAAAAACTGAATCATTGAAATAAATTTATCAAACAAAAAGACTTAGGAGTTAATATAATACAACAATTCTACCTTTGCTTGAAGCAATACAGGTCAACTAGGAACAGTTTCATTTATCTAAAATTTTGAAGATTCTTTCTCCATTTGAGTACTGTATAATGAAAATGAGGTTTCCCAAAGCATCATCAAATGTAGTATGGATGAACAGCAGGACTTGTAAAAGAATGAAGTTGAGTAACCTTTAAGCTGTAAGCAAGAGAAGTGCATTAAAAATATATATAGTAGAAGATAAAAGCCATGGATCTCACACAATTATATGTGGAAAAATCAACTGAATTTGCTTTGCAGGACTTTACATGGAATCGCATTTACAACAAACCAATGGCCCATAGATTAATACCTGTTTTTGATGCCAATGCCAAGGAAGCAAATTAGCCATGAACTCACGGCAATATCTGCCGCACCGTTAATTCTTGTTAGATGATGCGAACAAGGAACCGATGAGCAATAAGCATTCAGAAAGGACTAGCATTTGAGGCTCATATGAAATATCAAGTTTTCATAATCCAATAGTTTAGTTTTTGAGGGGCTTCCACCATTCCACAGTGCTTCGACAGCCATTACCTGTTAAATGTCATGATTTTGCCCTCTTTTTCAGCTCACCCAAAATATGAAGCAAGTTCTCTGAACCATCAAGCATGCATTCCCTGCGAATGCCATCTAAAACAACTTTGTAGGTTATAGCATCTGGTATTTGTCCCTTGCAAAGCATTTTATCTACAAAACAAGCAGCCTTATCGAAATTTCCCTCTTTGCAAATTCCACAAATCAATGTAGTATAAGTAATCACATCTGGCCTAATCCCATCCTGCTTCATATCCAATAACAATGCTTCGGCAACCTCACTTTTCCCAATTTTGCAGAATCCATCCATAAATGCATTATATGTAATAACGCTAGGCTGAAACCCTTTCTTCCTAATTTCATCAAAAATCCTTTTGGCACCCTCCATATCCCCCATTTTGCAATACCCATCAATTAAACTATTATAAGCAACAACATCATTTTCAAACCCACTCTCCTCCATCCGATGAATAAACTGGAGAGAATCCTCCAATCTCCCTTCTTTACATAATCCATCAACCAAAGTACTATACACGAACTTATCAGGACTCAAACCTTCTTGGATCATCACATCTAAAACTCTCAAACCCTCTTCCATTCTACCCATTTTGCAAAGAGCTCCGATTATAATAGTGAATGTATTAACATTAGGGTGAAGACCAGAGGAAGCCACAAAGGTTAACATTTCCATAACATCTTCTAACTGCCCATTATCACAATATCCATGAATCAACGAATTAAACGTCAAAATGTCCGGGTTAACACCATTCTCTTGCATCTCATAAAGCATATTCTTAGCTTCCACCAGCTTCTTCGCTCGACACAAACCATCAATAAAACTGGTATAGGAAACTACATTCCCTCTAATTCCAACTCTAACCATCCTCCCATAAAGAATTGCAGCAGCCAAGATCATGCCTTTCTTACACAAGCCACTCAGAACAATGTTATAACTAAACTCACTAGGCTCCAATCCAAATCCCAACATTTCACCAATCAAACCAAGACCTTTCTCAAAATCCAAGCAACCACACACACATCCGATAAGTACTCCATATGTAAAGCTGTTTGGGCTCGGTCCGTTCTCCTTCATCTGATCGAAAATTTCAAAAGCATTGGAGATATTACCTTCTCTGCAGAGGGCTTTGATCAAAGTTGTGAATGTGACAACGTTTGCAGTGTAACCCCTTTGAGTAATTTCCTCGAATAGCTGAAGTGCAAGATTTGAGCGACTGGTCTCTGAGCAACAGTTGATGATGATGTTGAGAGTGGTGAAGTCCGGGAAGATGCCCGAGGAGCGAGCAGAGGAAAAGAGGGAGATGGCCGAATCAAATCGACGGGATTTGGAAAGAGATATGAGAGCGATGTTGAGGGACCGAGTCGAGGTGGGCACTGGATTTTCATGGTGGATTGTGGCGGTGGAATGGCGGCCGTTGGAGAAACTATGGAGTTGGAGATGTAAAGGGAGAGATCGTGTGAGAGATCTAAAGAAATAGCTACAGATAATGGAAGAAAAAGAACGGATTTTTGCTGCAGTCGTGAACATTCCACGGCTCTAAAGTTTGAATTGTAAAAATCCTTTTTTTAAATATATTTAGTAGTAATATTTGTATAAATATTGTGGATGAATATTTTGATACACATTTATATAACTTTTATTTATATAATTAAATAAATCTGAACAAAATTTTAAAATCTTATAGAGAAATAAATATATTTAAACAATAATTCATTGTTCATTTATATTTATAAATGAACTTTATTATTGTTTGATAAATAGCTTGCTAAATATTGCCTTAATTAATTATTTGTTGACTTTTTATATGTTTTGGTATTGAATATATCCTATATATTCTAAAAATAATGTGTGTTATTAATGATTAATTAAAATATCAAACATATATATTTTTAAATCTTATTAATATTTAAATCACCAACTAATATAATTAATATCTAACAAATTGTACTAATGCTAATTAAAATATAGAAATCCAACTATGAATGATAATAAGATTATATGTTAAATCTTTAGCACCAAATACATAATTAATTAGTCTTCATTAAACCCTAAGTTAAAATGATGATAGACTGATCCAATATAGAATTTGAATTGTTGAAACATAGGCAATCGTGATGGAGCTCGCGAATGAGGCCGCACAACAACATAGGAAGTGATCCGCATGTGGAGACGAGGAAAACAAGCGTAAGGTAGCGACCAATGGATAATTTGATGTTCAACTATTGGTATGGGTGCTATACCTAGTATGTCTTGATGATGTAAAAGTGATGCAGCGTTATTTCCTAAGTAGGCATATTATATGGCACTTTCATAGAACATAGTGGTCATGATTCATATGTTAGTGAAATGAAGAATTATCATCACTTTACAATCGATGTTTCATTATGGAATCACTGTAGTGATGAGACAAAGCAATAATGGATGGGAGCATGTTAGAGCTAAAAGGATGAATCTTTTGGAACATTAGAAGAATTATAGCTAAGATCAATGGTTAAAGGAAGATTTTGTGCAAAAATACCTAAAAGTGTTATTATTGATAAGTCTTGTGCGATTATGTCTACTTCATAGGGATGAAAAGTTGGATGAGGCCTAGGCTGGTTTCATGGTATCCTCTTGATTTGATTGGTTGAGGGGATTCAATTTGCCCACTTCTTCGTGATGTAAGATGATATTGGGAAAAATCTTAACCTCCACAGAAGACCAATTTGAATCTGGTTGCACTGTATGACAAAGTCATTAGGATTAGAATTTAGAAGTTTAAATTTTCTAGGCATATTAGACAATCGTAATTGAATAAAGAAATGAGGTGTTACATTTTCCCCTTTCATTTTTTTCACAAGTTAGTAGTATTGAAACTAAGTCACCATGGGAAATTGACTTGGATTTGGTCATTCTTTATAACAAATCAATCAATCAAAATTTTACTTTATATTCTTTTAGTTCAAATCAAATATATATAAAAAATAAAATATATTATCCTGCTAACGCTTCATTTTTTATGGCTTTTTTCTTGCTTCTTAAAGCAGCTTTTTAGTACAAAATTTTTATTTTTTTATACTAAAAAGATTATTTAAGAAGCAGTAAGAAAGCCATCCCAAACGAAGCCTAATATTTTGATCAAACATTGCTTAATAATAAACAAAATATTATAAAACAAGTCACTATCATGCCTGCCAGTTAGGAGCACAGCTTTGAATAACTTGCACACAATGATTTGGGAGTCCATTTGGCTCATACATAGAATATGTATTTTGAGGCCTTGTGATAGAAATTAATATAGATATTGACAATTATAAAGGTAACCAAGTTATCCATAACACCTTGAATAAGACATTTTATTTATTAAAAAAAAATCTAATTATGTTATTCACAATTGTAAAGAATTGTCTCAATGTAGGCTATTCTAATGAAGAAAAAAAAAGCCCTTTTAACTCTTTTCAATTTATTAAGAAAAATTATGTTATAAATTTTATTAAGTCAATATTCTTAATAATTTTTAAATTAAAAAAATTTCTAATGCTATTTAAAGAAACATATAAAACATTGATATGTTAGTGTTGGAATCAATTAAGAGATAATTTAAATCATTAAGAGTAAATAAAAATATGATAAAAAATAAAACATATTAATAATTTTATATTATTTTGTTAAATTGATCATTATATTATTATGAACAAGTAATTGTAGATTTCATTATGGTTCTAATTTTGAAAATTTTGCTTTGATAATCTCTTTGATAATATTTATATATATAATTCGTTTTATAAAGAAAAAAAAAACTTAAAAAATAATGAAATAATAATTCGAAACTTGTCGATGCAATCCTCGAATGAGTATATGTAAAACATTTTTTTAGGACATTAATCAGTCTTCACGACTAACAAATTAGCACATCATCTTCTCATATATTATATACTTCTTGAAGGATTTTTTCATGCCCATAAAATATATATTTCTTGTAATCATTAATATATCAATACTTGCATGATCCAGCAGAAATGATTATACTATGTGAGTATTGATTACAATCGTTTGACCGCCCCTTATCTTGGAGAAAATAATATTCCAATTCAATAGTATGGAGAACTGGTAGAAAATTTGGTGAAATTGGTATAGGATGAAAGGCATTTGAACAATTGTGGCTAAGAGGTCCGATGGCTATGATTAGGTGGTGATAAGGCGATTCAATAGCATCAACCAAATGGTGGTCAAACGATATTAGTCGGACAATGATAGTTTTGTGACAAAGGTTTGATAGTGGTCCAATGGTGACACTTAGGTGGAAAAGGTTTGACAGCGTTCAGGTAGTGGCCTAATGATGGCGATCGGGTTGCCAAGGTCTGACAATATCAGTCAAATGTTGAAGGTTTGATGGTTGCGAACTTGTGACAATCAAACGACAATTGTGCTAAGGTAGAGTTCAAGGATTTTTCAAGCCTTTGATATTTCTTGATTGTCTAGCCAAATGTCCTCTTTAGGGAAGGGGGACGGGAAGGGTGGTCTATTTATATATATTTTTAAAGTGAAATGACTCATAAATATGAAAAAAAAATCCAAAATACATCGTGAGATACCTCATAGTAATTATTTTTATTATAAAACATTCGTTTAGCATTTAAGTACCTTAATATTATCAAAATTAAGCAATCTTTGGATCTTTGGATTAGTCCATCGACACACTTGACTTGGATTTTTTTTTTTTTTTTTTTTTTGAGTCATTGGTTTTATCTAGTCAACTAAATCAATTAAATTATAAATTTGTTGAAATTGGTACCCATATTATCCTAAATTTAATTATAGAAGACTCAAAAGTGTGCATCGAGATTTGTGCCTGATCAAATCTATTTTTAAAAATTTATTTCATTGCTATTTGTAACAAATAAGAAGCTTCCTTCATCTGTTCCCATATTATCCTAAATCTAATAAATCTGCCCAAAAACTAATTTTTCATTTTATTACATAGTTTCTAATAATATATCACAGTAAAAATTTTAAATTTACTTATAAATCACTCAATTCTTTAATACAAGCTGCAGGTTGGCTTTCTTTATAAGACAATAAATTTTGTTTCATCTGCTGAAGTTTTCTCTTAAAATTTGTCAGGATTCAAATAGATAAATACTCTAAAGATTTCTTATTCAATCTCTTGCAGATAAAAAATTTCAAATATAGAACTAAATATATTTATAAACAAAAGCTGGATCTGAAGAGGCCACTCTTTCTACATGCATAAATCATAACGCGATTTTGACAGAGCTTTTTTGTTCTGTTTTGCTGTCATTTTCCTCTACTCAGCCTTCCAGTTCCTCTCAAGAACCTTGGTTTCTTCTGTAATCAAATCTTCTTTCTTTCCTCCCTTCCAGCTTCCAGTTTCCAATTCTCAGAGTTGTGAAAATGAATGATCTTCTCAAGGTAAAATCTTTCAGTTTTTGCTTTACTTGTTAGGAGGCTACTGTGTAGTACAGTATGTTCATGATGCTTGCTTCATCTTAATCTTAGGCTTCGTTTGGGTTTTTGCTTCTTAAAACAGCTTCCAAGTACAAAAAATTTAATTTTTTACTAAGAAGCTGCTTTAAGAAGCAATAAGAAAGCTATCCCAAACGAAGCCTTGGTCTTTATTGTTATCACAAGTTAGCAACAATAAACATCATAACATCATAAATTTACAATGATTCTGCTTCACTTTGCAGAACTCTTTTGTTTCTAGAATAGAGAGGTCAGACAGGTCTCCAAGAGAAAGAGATATAGAGTTAGGATTTCCAATGCAAAGCTTAAGAAGTGATTATGGAATGGAGGAATTTTTCAAACAGGTAAAAAATTTTGCATCAAATTTAACATAGAATGTGTAATTGAAAAAAATTTCTTTCTTAACATGTTGTGAATCTTTTTCAACATTAAAATAGGTAAAACAAGTTGAGGAGCTTATGATAAAGCTCTCTAATAACCTCAAGAAGCTTCAGGTAAGCTGACACACAATCGATAAGTCGTGTAAAACAAGTTTATCTTGGTTTTCGTGTAGCTTATAGAAGATTATAAAGCTTTTTACTTGGATCATAAAGCTACATGAACTGCCAAAATATTTTCAGGAAGGCAACGAGGAGATCAAGGCTGTAACTAAGGCTACTACAATGAAAGGTAACATATATAAGACTCTTCATTTATGCAATTTCTTCCATGACTCAACAAAATGTAAATTTGAATTGCCTCCAGCTTTTAAGAAAATAATGGATAGGGATATGGAAGAAGTGGGAATAATTGCACGCGCCATCAAAATGAAATTAGAAGAAATCGATCTAGATGTAGGCAATGCTTCTGATTCATTTTTTTAGTTTTGATTTGTTTGACTGGTTCTATGTATTCATATTTATTTTTGGTTTTTAGAACTTAGAGAACAGGAAGAATCCTGGCTGTGGAAAGGGGACTGCTGTTGATAGATCAAGAACAGCCATGACAGTGTAAGTTTTCCTTGTTTAGTTCTACAAGATTGTCTTATTGTGCTTGTAATCAATCTTAAAATCCATTGATTTCAGTTCCTTAAAGAAGAAATTGAGGGATAAAGTTAATGATTTCCAGGTATTTAATTAATTTGCTTTTCTGGCAATATCATTCATGCAAAAAATAGTTGATTAAGCGTTTATAACACATTGCAGAATCTGAGGCAAAGTATACAAGAAGAATACAGGGAAATTGTTCAGAGAAGATTTTTTACAGGTTGAAATCTCACACTCAGTCATAATCTGTGAGAATTTCTATCTTTCAACTGCAAAAGATATTAAATTGTTCTTATTCTCTTTGCATATGTTACAATAAACAGTCACAGGGACAACACCAACTGAAGAAGTGGGTATAACATATTATAACATATGTAATCAATGACAAGCCCTTATAGCATGTTTTTAAAATTTTCAAAGCCTATATAGATGATCGACGAACTGATCGAGAATGGTGATAGTGAAAGAATCTTTAAAAAGGCAATTCAAGATATCGGAAAAGGGCAGGTTTACTCTGAATTGTAATTGGATTATGAAAATGTTGTTTAGAAAATGAAATGTTGATTAGAAAACATGCTTTTATAGGTAATTGACACCTTGGAAGAAATTCAAGAAAGGCATGATGCTGTTAAGGATATTGAACATAAGTTGTTTGAACTGCATCAAGTACATACTTAAATTTTAAAGTGTATATATATATATATATATATTCAAAGTTCTGTTGACTCACCATATTGTTTTTATGGCTTTTGTTATCTGTTGATAGATTTTCATGGACATGGCAGTGCTAGTTGAGGCGCAAGGAGAAATGTTGGATAATATTGAAAGTCAGGTTTGATTTTGTGCTCTTATATGGAATTTCTACAATTCGACTTTTTAAATTAATTTTCTCATTTGCATGTGAAGAATCAATCACAATTAGGTTATTGGATAGTCAAATCATTGCAAAGTCTATTTTAGTGTTTTGTTAGAAAATTCTGCAGTACTAAACTGAGAACTCAACTTTTGAAATGTTTGAAAAATTGGAAAGTAGAGTAATATTGTCTCTAGTAATCTTGAGTTGCTATTTTTAAATGTCATTATTGCATTTAAATTGAAAACTTTAGATAAGAACAAACAAATTTAATGGGACACTTGCATCATATTGGAGCATGAACCTTATTTTCTTAGATTAATCTTCATCATGATTAGAATCCATAATGTTCTCTTTGTAATATAAGTCACAAAGTGCCTAGTGTTATCATAGTAATAACATTCGGTGCAAAATTTAAATGAACAAGAGAACAAATACACCAGTGATAAATATAGGACACATAAGTTTATGTGATTTGCTGATATACACACCTACATCTACTACTCATAGAGATTTAATATTCCACTAACTTCACATTAAGGGTAAATCAAGAATTTTTTAATATAAAGTTGAAGATAGTGATAGGTATACTATTCTCTCTATAACAATGCTTGAGAGGAAAAAAATGACTTGTTGTGAAGAAGAAAGCTTAACATGATGTTGTTGTGGTTACTACTCACTTCCCTTCTTTATAGCTAGAGCTTCTCTCTTTTATGGCCTAAAGTTTCTTCTTTTGATGGAACTGAAACTAAGTAGCATCAATCTCCTTCTTGTTGAAGAACTATAAGATTCTCGTACTACGAGTATCTGAAAAACTCATTCCTTCGTTCTCCCGTTGCAAATCCCTCTCCTCTCTCTATCTCCTTTTCTCATAATTTATTTATATCCATGGGACGTAAAATGCCACATTTTAAGGCTCTATATATAATCATAACAAAACATATATTGCAAAATATCTCTTAAAGTCAACAAAAGATCTTTTAGCCAACCCAAAAAAAAATTAAACCATATTTTTAAAAGTATCAATCCAATAATTGCAATAAATATTGTAAAGATTTAATGAGAAAAAAAAAATTTTTTTGACTCCATAATTTTAACACCAAGTATTCTCATAATCAAAATAAGCTATTTGGATAAATTCACATTACTTAATTCAATCATAAGTTAAGAAGGCAGCTTACTAATTCCCCATCATGTTTTCATCAAATTGTCTTCCTCAGAAGAAAAATCATCATGTAACAAACTGAAACTATATTTTCAGGTAGCAAATGCAGTGAATCATGTACAGAATGGAACAGAAGCCCTTCAAATTGCCAAGAGCTTGCAAAAGAAATCAAGAAAATGCATGTTTAGTGCAATAATTTTGTTCCTGATAATTGCAATTATTATTGCTCTCTCAATCATTAAACCTTGGAAGAGATGAAACAGAATCAACCTCTTTCACTATCATGAACTCCCCTCTTTCAACTCTCTTGTTGATTTGCAGCTTTCAGGTGGCCAAAGAACATGTTTTAAGGCATATTCAGTACTAAAATGTAAATTCTTACTTATTTTGGTATGCTGTACAATGACTTCCTCCACATTCTCCATCAAGCTATGTAAGTAGTAATTCGTTATTTTGAATTCCATTGTAAAAGGTAAATGATTACAGAATGTTCAGCTGAATTGGAAAATTATAGAAAATATAACTTCCTTCTAAGTTTATGGTATTTATGAGAACTCAGTAATAATTTTAGTTTCTTGCTACATTTATCACTGATGTAATGCTAGGAATAAGCTCATGACTTGATAAGAACCGCCGAGAGAAAATATATACGAAAGAATAGAACACATACAAATATATTAAGAATTTTATACATGCTTGTCCAATTGATAATTACTTAATGTTTTTGCTGCTACAGCTTTGAACATGCATGATTACTAGAGAAATTCTTTATCACGCTCTGTGTTTTTATATTCTTCGGAAACCCTAATAGCGATGCCCCTTTTATAATAAAAAATCTTGAGCAATTGAAATTAACAAGTGAAATCTCTAAAATAACCTTAATGAAATAATTCATGAAAACTTGAGGTGTAAGATTTTTCTTCATAGAACATTAATTTGACTCCACAACTTAGTATTGTTGTTTTGTTTTGTACTAAAAGTGGGACTAATATAATTTATTTTTTAAATGAATATAAAATATTATGATCATAAAAATCTCCATTTAACAAAACAAAATTTTCAATTACTATAGCAGAATTTGATTTCTTAATTTTACTGAATTAATTCCTAAATAGGAAACTTATTTATTTGATCAGTTTGAACCTATTCTAATGCATTTTTATCAAAAGACTCTGATTTAATTTTTTTTCCATCCAAATAAGCACAAACAAATAATTAAAATATTTACAAAATTAACCCCACCAAACATGTAATAATCCTTTTATGACCATTTCATTTGGAGGATTTTTTATTTAAATTCCAAGAGAAATTTAAAAAAAAAAAAAAAAAAGATATTTCATCCCATCACATCTCAAAATAATTTAAGTAAATTTTTTCCTTGTTTTGATAAGTACAAAAGGTTTGAATAAAAATTAATTTGTCATCCCTCCAATTCTATAAAAAAATCATATTACATTTAAGATAAGATACTGACTTGCGAATAAAATATTACATTAAATATTATTACTTTAAAAATAAATAATTTAATTTAATTTCTATTATATTTATTCAATTTTATCAATACTAAACAACAAATAATTTATTTATATGTCCACTTTGCATGAAATTAAAAAAATGTGAGGATGTCGGGCAGAGCTTCGGCCCGGAAGAGAGTGTCGTGTGAGAGTGAGGATCGAAAGGAAGAGCCAGGAATGGAAGAGGAGCTCGGACAGAGTAGCGAACGAGTGCGGAGGAGGGTTGGGAGCAGAGGATTCGCGTCTGTGGGATTTGCGAATGGAAGAGTTTCAGTCGAGTGGGGAGCGAATGAGAAGCTCGGCCTCTATTTAACAACGCGAACGAGGCGACGATCGAGGAGCTGCCGCGGGATTAGCGGGATCAGACGCGAACGGCGCCGCGTCTACAGTGTCTTAGCGGGATTCCCTGCGGGAATTCGGGAGATTTTGGGCGGCTTCTCGACGTATACGAGGTATGCCATTTTTGGTTATTTCTTTCTCTTTTTGCTCTTTACACAGAGGTCAACAATTAAAAAATTCTTTTATATTGAAAACTGTTTGGTTAGCTGATGAATACAGTATAAAATGAATGCAGTGTAAAATCTAAAGAGGGTGGTGATTGGTGGCCTAAAATGGCAGGAGGACAACATTTTGACTAATTTCTGGTGGACAACAGCAGTTTAAAAAAAAAAACCGTCTATTTGCTACATTTCAAAAAATAAAAATGCATAACACGCCCCAAATGAATTCTAAAATTAAATCGGCTTTCTTCACAATGTCATGTTACATATCAGGCAAACCAAGTGGGGTTCATTTTAGGCAGCTTTTCAACAACCACGTTTCAAACAACTAGCACATATTTACTTGGTTCCATTGCTGCTTCTAAGAAATTTTTGCCGCAGATTTTTACAACCAAATTTGCGAGTGTGTGGATATAAGAAAGTTCATACTCAACTTTTTCAAAAGTAAAGAAACTTATAAAACTGACATCAATTTTTTAAAAAATTAACTATTATTATAATAATCTTACAACTATGTTGATAAAAAGTTGCATCTACCCAAGTGAATCTGTGTCAACCAAATTAAACTCAAAAGCCTACTGATTACTTAAGGTTATCAACCTTCCAAAGAATTCCTACTAATACCTGTATACTGCATCTGCAGAACTTGATTCACATTCAAGGCCAAACTTCACCGTGTATGTCCTTTTTAGCATATAGCCGATCCCACGACCAAGGCATATCTGGAAAACAGCAGATTATATCAACAAATAACTTGATATTTAGAAAATTTCAAATAATAGAAAGGGAGACTTGAAGAACAAGCATTGAATGCAAGCAAGGAACAACCTTCAGGAGAGTAAGGCTGGGCTGGAAGTTGATATGGAACAGGTAGACGGATGATGATCTCAGATGATGAATCCGGCTCGCCATTCCAGCATAGAGTCACCAATTTTGTTTTGCCATTCTTAGTAGACATCTGATTGTTTTTGTTCAAGAAAATACAACTGACGATTGGGTGTTTTAAGTCATATTTAAGTTTTTGACGAACTAGTGAACTAACCTGCTTCATATCACCATTGCCAGTGCATGAAAATTGAGAAAGATTGCCCTTCATAACAGATGGCAAGAATAATACCCCCAACTTCACAAAAAAAAAATATTCAGAGCAAAATAGACATTAATATAAAATTCCATTTAATGTCCAACACTCTGATTCATTCAACATGGCCACTCTAGTTACAATTTTATAAAATTTAACTCCATGTTATGCTTTTATTGCCTAATATTCTTACTGACGCTTCTCTATTTTAATCGCTCAAATTTAACTCTTAAAATAATATCCTTCTCATGTATATTCTCATTCTTCTATATAATAAATCTGAAGATTTTGAACCTATCACACCCAACCATCCTTTTCTAATTATAATGATTGATAATTAAAAAAACTTTGAATCTGAAATCAGAGATGGAATGGATAAGTTAAAAAATAAATAATAGAAAGCTGGATAAAAGCAGAACTAATTTTAGGAAAGTATGTAATGCATCTATTGTTATTGCAGTTCAGTCAAACGCACAAAACAGAAATAATAGTTTTGAAACTCTCATTTTTTAATGCTGAAACTGTTGAAACCATCATCAATCAGAATGAATAACTAATGGCGATGTATTCTCACCTCATAAGAGCGGATCATAAGCTGAGAGTTATTCTTTTGAAGTGCACCCCATGCTGCTTTGCTTAAATTTGCTGATGTTAGAAGGAACCATCTGCCACATAAATTAAAAAAAAAAAAGTGGAAACTTAAAATTTCATAAGCATAAATAGGATAGAGCAATGTTTTCTACACTAACAAAGTTAAAACACATTTTCAACATATGAAGGAGATGATGGGCCAATAACATATTTTCTTCATGATACAATTTCGGATTGCCGCTGAAAATTACCCATTGTTCTGAACTGAGTGAGTGAAATTAGTATTTCTCTTTTGAATAAGAATAAAGAATAATATTGATTGTCCTTACGCAAGATTTTGACCGCTATGTCGGGTGTAGGATTTTATATGAGGCATTGCCCGGCTGAAAACATCAAATCAAAAGATAAAAGAAAACTATTAGATTAAATCAACTAATACACATGAGGAAAGATAAATCAGTATCCATTTCAGGAAAGTTCTCATGAGTCGTAGAAAATCAAGTGAAACTTCCCAGATTCAATCCAACAGAGCTATAGCACCTTTATGTGAGGAGGCGGGATAACATATGTGTAATATTTTGACCTGATTTATCAAGTTCACAAAGAGCCTGTTATATGTAGCCATTGTTGGTAAGCCATTGTAGCATGACCTAACTTTAAAATTTTGATAACACATGTAACAAGACGAACTAATCTGAGATGGCAAAAAAAAATTAAGAAAGATTGGGTTAAAGGATCCAATTTGCAAGCAAGGCTGAGTTTGGGCGGGGTTCTCCAGCAGGTAACCAAGATTTAGCCCGATATAAAGTCAATCCAATACACCTTGAACATTATTTAAATTTTATTTTTTGTTTTGAATGTGCTTTATTTTAAGATTATTTTAATTTTAAATTATATAAAATTTTAATGTTTATCTTGATTATAATTTAAATCAGTTATTTTTTTATGGCAAGCATATTTCTATAAACGTGAATTTAAGTACTTGAAATTTGAATAATTAGCTATGAATGAAATTCGAAAGACTCCCTCTCTTATATTCTCCATTCTCTCTCATCTCCCTCTCCATACAATTTCTAATCAACCAAGTACTCACTGCTCCTCTGATTCACCTCTCTTATCTCTTCTTTAAATTCTCTCTCCAGATTATTTGCAATGATTACCCTTGAGCTAAAATTTACTAGACTGATACTTGCACTCCAAACCAGCGATAGCATGTAAAGAAATCATTTGTTAAAGCAGTCTATATCTTTTATTAAAGCTATCATACATGATTTTGCTGACTTTCGTGATATGTCCCATGGCACGAAATATTCAACATTAAGATGAGCAAAAAAATGGTAAATTCCTTTATAAAAAAACTTGATTTTGGAAATGTCACAACATACCATCGACCCAAGTGATCTGCCTTCCATTTTGACCAATACTTCTTTAGAAATTCTTTCTCCACATTCTTTTGTGGGCTTGGAATGGCACTACCAGCTGCATAACCCTACATCATGAAACGATATTACAATGCTATCTCAGGAAGTTAATTAAACAACACTAGGGAACAGGCTAAAACAATGGAAGAGACAACAAGCATTCCCCGAATTACTCCAATTCACTTTTTTTTTCTCCTGAAAAAAGCCCATCCAGGTTCACTCGCTTTAATTAAGCATTAAGCTCAATCAAATAATACTGAACATTATTATGCATTCAACATGTGAAAATCTAACAGCTAGGACATTCAAATATAACATGGTTGGCACATTCTTGCTGACCGTTAACTGATAAAGGAAGCTGCGTAAATAAAAATAATTCAAGTATCTTCTGAAGCTACAAAGGTAACGAGTTGGGGTCAGCTATATGAATCCTCATTATTTATCTACTCCTAATTTTTATAGAAGCATTAATTCTATTTTACGGATATGTAAAAATTTTATTGGGCACCTAGAGTCAGAATACATCTACCAAGCATCTTAACAATGATTAGACAATTTCAGAAAACTCCTTTTACATGTTAAAAATAAAGCATATGTCAAGCAAAGATGGCAAACAAGTGATCTACAGCACCTAACAATTTTATATGCACAGTTTAGCAAAGAAAAATAGCAGATAAATGCACAAAGCTCCCCAAAGGCAAGTCAATAGAGGGGTTTATACACATATTCTTAGCCCTTCACAGCAGGCACGCCATTAAAGTATTTGCATGCTAAGTTGCTAGCTGGTATAGCAATTCAATTTTTGCATCTCATCTAAACCATCCACATGCCAAAAAGAAGAGGTAAATCAACCAGTTCATGAATTATGACTTATCAGCAGTGAAGAGTAAGCCATTACCAAGCACCGTTACAATTTTAAAAATTGGCCAACCAAAATTGGTATCCAACCTAGAACAAAAGATAGCTGACCAAATTCCTCTGACTTGGATCCACCCAATAGGTCTATTTTAGACCGATCCCTGGACCGGTCTAGTTGATCCATCATGGACCGGCTCTTGTGTACAAGAGATGGAACAAATTGTTCCGCCCATAACTTCCATCCTCTCTGCATGACGGGCCCACCAACCAATTAAGGGAGCAATTAAGGGGGGATTAGGAGGAAAAAAATCAGAAGAGAGGGTTGTTTAGGGAATTATAGAATTGTTGCATGCTTAAAGGGGAAATTTTTCTTAGGGTTAGGATATCATCTCTGTTTTGACTGAATTTGGGAGTGCTCTTAGATTTGTTTGGGCTCTAGTCGCCAGCTAGAGATTTGAGAGAGCCGGATCCTCCTCTCCAATTGTTGATCAATTGTATCTTTGTTGCTTTCTTCCCTATTTCATCAATTGAAAAGAGTTTTCTTTCGTTATTTCTCTTAAATTCATCTTGGAGATTGGATTTGGATTATTGTAATTTAATTTCAGCCAAGGGAGATTGGATTTCTACATCCATTTCTTAACAGTCTAATCCTCCGTTCAAATTGATTAAACCACATGGAAGGTTTCAAGTTTGATCCTAGTACTGCAAGAACCATCATCACCGACGTCAGCCAATCAAGGACAGCAACATGGTCACTCCTTATGCATACTATAGGCCACACCCGAATATTCCTCCAACCTCCATAACGGCTCCTTTCCACAAGGACACGTTGCTTTTCAAGAATAACCATCTCTTGTAAGCCACTCATCCGAGAAGCACCATGTTGAATCAACCTACACTATGTTTGACATGTATCTCACTACTCCCGTTCATACTAAAATAATTGGCACGTACGCTCACATCATAGCCGCTAAGAGGAATTCTTCTAGCAGACCTAACCCCTATAAATACCCTAATCTTAGCAAGTCAACAACAAAAATGATCTCGAACCTATAGCCTAAACTCCAATGAATTGCAGTATGAGAGCAATAATATTAAGAGCCCTTAAATATAAGAGTACTAGAAAAAGAGTGGCAAAGTGAGATCCTTTGTAATGCTTTCTTCTGCATGGTAAACCTGATGAGGACATCGAAGATCAACGGCTACGATCGTGTCTATTTATTTTGATGTATTTGTTATTTGTACTTTTCCATTTCTACCCTCACTTGAGGGCTTTATTTTATGTTTGCTCTAGGGGCAATTGTGTCTTTTTATTTTCCTTCATGTATTTGGCTATTTAAGCCCTCCCCTTCCTCTTGGAAAGGGATGATGACCATCCTCCATAGAATGGATGTAGGAAAACAAACCAAATCATTATAAATCCTTTTGTTGTCCCGTATTTATCTTTCACGTGCTTCTCATTCTCTCTCTATTCCACTTGGATGCCTCTTCAATCATGATTAAAATAATCTTGATAACTTGACCCTTCATTTCTCATTCCCTTCTATTGTGAACTGATCAGAAGTCCGCTTCATCAAGTATCATTGATTCACTCGAACCACTTTAGTCATTCACAATTGAATGGTAGTTTAAATGCACGATCTTCATGGTTTCAATCAAAAAATTTGAATTGCACTCATCATCATTATTATCCTTATCCTAGAAATTCAAAATTGACTTCATAAATCCTCATACTCCATTCATTCTGGTTGCATTACATAAGGTGATAAATTTATTTTGATAAAAAAGCACAATTTTGAGCCACATTAATTTAAGCTTGCCCCATTTTCCTTCCTAATTCACCTAATACCTCTTCAATCCTCTTTCGTACATGTCCAATAAAACCCATTTTCTACTACCATATTTTCAATAGTTTCTATTAGCACCATCGCTAATATAATGAACTTTATTGTTCTAATAAACAATTTTTGCATGAACTTTCTCATTATATTCATCCCAATTATAGTATGAATTCATCTTTACAATTATATAATTGTAGGGGTGCATGTGAGGAGCAACGTAACAACTTGTAATTCGGTTTATTTATAGGATTTGGCGTATCAGAAAGGATGTGATTGGGATACAAGGGGATTTGAATTATTAGATTTAGGCTTATGTGGAGAACTACAGGAATAGGCATACAAAGGGGTGAAAGACTGGAAAGGGGGGAAACCATGAAATTTTTTTAAAAAATGAGATTTAAATCAAAAGGATAATCACTCTAATAACAAATTGATAGCTGCTTGAATGCCTTGGAAAGAAAGAAGAGATAAAGAGAAACTCCTTCTAAACAAATTGGATTACAAGAGAAACTCATAATTGGCCTTCACAATAATTTCATTCATCTAATCAATTAATGATTCAAATATAGGTAATAAATTAATATTTTATAGGGATAGTGTTATAATAATAAGATCAAATAATTTGAAATCATATAGAATCCAACCTATTGCGTCCTGAAATATTCGCGGCGATAGATAAATATAAATTTTAACGTCTTAGCTTTGTACGAAGATCCAACACACAAAAAGATAAAAGAGATAGTGTAGCATTCATAAGATACACCAGAGTTTTCACATGGAAACCCCTGAAAAGGGAGAAAAACCAGGGGGTCTGGCCCAATTTGAATGAATTTACTAGTATTTGTAGTCGATTAAAAATGAGGCCTTCCTTAGGATAATGCATTGGCTTTATGTAGCAAATATACATCATATAGAGTGCATTACATGGCGGGAATTTGAAGAATTAGCATTGACATGTTTGTTTGGTCCGCATGACCATAGTCGGGGGCGACGGAGGTCAGAAATATTGTAGTCGGGTGATGGTGGTCGGAATGACCATAGTTGGCGGGCGACGGAGGTCGGAAAAACCGTTGTCAGGAGGTGGAGGTCGAAAGGACTGTAGACGGCGAACGACAGAGGTTGGAAGGATTGTAGTCGAAGGGCGATGGAGGACGAAAGAACCGTAGTCGGTAGGCGACTGGTTAGAAAGACCGTTGTCGGTAATAGAGGTCAAAAGGACCGTAGTCGGCGGGTGACTGAGGTCGGAAAGACCGTAGTTTGGCGACGGAGGTCGAAAGGACCATAGTCGGCAGGAGACTATGGTCATGGTCAAAAAGACTGTTGTCGGCAAAGGAGGTTAGAAGGACCGTAATCGGCGGGCCACAGAGGTCAGAAAGACTGTATTCAGTGGGTGACGGAGATCTGAAAGACTGTACTCAACGGGCGATAGAGGTCAAAAGGACCGTAGGCGGCAGGCGACTGTGATCAGAAAGACTGTTGTCGACGATTAAGGTCAAAAGGACCTTAGTCGTCGGGCGACGGAGGTTGGAAAGACCGTAGCCGGCAGGAAACAGAAGTCAGAAGGACCAACGATAGTCGGTGGTCAGGTGTAAATCTGGCATTAGTTGGCGGCCCGGCGTAAGTCCGACGAGAGTTGGTGGCTGGGCATAAGTCCAGTGAAAGTCCAGCGACAGTTGGTGGCAGGGTGAAGATTGAGGAGCTTGGTGGCAAGAGAAATTCCTCTCCTCTCCTCTTTCTTTTATTCCCCCTTTGCTTCCTCCCCTTCCATGAGGACTGAGAGATCTATTTATAATTTTCTGAGAGTGACATGGCCAGTAAATAGGAGGGAGATCAAGAGTATGTTGAGAGTCATTTGAATGGACGGCCGATATTGATCCCCTTGATCGTGGACAATTTATTAGGCATTTGAATATCTTAATGATATCAGAATTCGACGATCTTGTGCTCATTAGATTCATCTGGTCGAACCGCTCGATTCGACTATAAGCATGTCAAGTTTGGAAATCGTTTAACCATCCAATTTATATTTTGAACATTCCAAAAGCACTTCGGGTCTTCGATTTGGTCCCAATTGGGCTTGGATTAAGTCGAATTTGGTGTCTTTGGTTTTGTCTTTCCGAGACGTTCAGTTTGACTATAAGTTTGCTTAAATCGGAGTTCATATGGTTTCGAATCAAATTTTTGAAGTTTCCAACTCAATTTTGCCTCAAGATTAGTGCCCGGTCAAGATAAATTTTTGAAACTAAAACTAATCCTAAATCATTTGATTCAAACCTATAATTATCCAAAAAGATAACTCATCCCAAGTTAATTCAAATAAACCTAATCAATTCACAAATCCTAATAAATATGAAATAAATATTAAAATATAATAAATTAATCTAAATTAATTTACTGTACTGCATTAGAGGGGAGATAAAAAATAAATTTGATGCACTAAAAATCCAATAGTTGTCAATATAGGCATAAAAGGAAATAAGAGACATTAGAAATAGATCTACGGGAATTGCAAATGGTGGATAACAACACATGATTTATATTTAATTATGATAGGTAGACAACAACAACAACAAGCCTTTATCCTACTATGTGGGGTTGGCTATATGAATCCTTTTTCTCCATTGTGTCATGTTAAGAGTCAAATTCTCATATAAATCTAAAAAAGATAAGTCATTTCTAATATATTCTAACAAAGTCTTTTTAGGTCTTCCTCTACCTTTTTTAACATACGTCAAATCTAATACATCTACTTTCCTAACCAGGTCATTAGAATGCCACCGTTTTATGTGACCAAATCATATAAGACGACTCTCTCTAATCTTATCTTCCACTGGAGCTACTCCAACCTTTTCACGTATATGCTCATTACATATCCTGTATTTAAGAGTAACGCCACTCATCCACCCAAACATCCTCATCTCTACAACACTCGACTTAATATTATGCTTCACTTTTAATGGACAACATTCGGCACCATAAAGCATTGCAAGTCTCACTACAATTTTATAGAGTTTTCACTTAAGTTTGAGAGGGACTTTTCTATCACACAACAAGCCCGATGCATTCTTCCACTTCAACCATCCAACTTGAATTCTACTAATAATATCCCCGTCTATTTCACCATCACTCTGAACAATAGACCAAATATATCTAAAACGAGTGCTCTTATTAATAACTTGATCGCCCAAAGTCACAATCCCCCCACTAGATCTATTATTACTATAATTACACTCCATATATTCTTACGGAAAAACGACGCAGACGGCGCCGAACAGCAGGATTTGCGGATGATTTCGGGCAGATTTCGGGGACTCAACGGATATGAGATGAATGTATGCTGGATTTCTATTTTGATTTCATTTGCCTTTGTTTCTTTTGGGTATAATCATGAGGGTCAACAGTGTTTGAACACAAATAAAAGCTCATGCATACATATCCTTAATGAGTTGAATATAAGCATAATTAACCACTTTCTTAAGTAAAACCCTCAATAGCACTTCTCTTGGAACTTTTTCACATGTTTTCTCTACAACAACAACATCAAGCCTTTGTCCCACTACATGGGGTCGGCTACATGAATCATTTTTTGTCATTGTGTCATGTTAAAAGTCAAATTCTCATTTAAATCTAATAAAGATAGATCATTTCTAATATTTTCTAACCAAGTATTTTTATGTCTACCTCTACCTTTCTTAACAAAAGTCAAATCTAATACCTCAACTTTCCTAATCAGGTCATCGGAAGGCCTCCGCTTAATGTGGCCAAACCATCTAAGGCGACTCTCTCTAATCTTATCTTCCATTGGAGCTACTCCAACCTTTTCACGTATATGCTCATTTTGTATCCTATCTCTAAGGATAAAGCCACTCCTCCACCTAAGCATCCTCATCTCTACAACACTTTTAGTATTATGCCTCTCTTTTAATGGCCAACATTCGACCCCATAAAGCATTGCATGTTTCATCACCATCTTATAAAATTTTCCCTTAAGTTTAAGGGGGACTTTTCTATCGCACAACAAGCCCGATGCATTCCTCCACTTCAACCATTCAACTTGAATTCTGCTGGTAATATCATATGCTTTCTCTAAATAAAAAAAAAATCATATGCAGATCCTCATTATTCTCTCTATACTTCTCCATCATACCTCACAATAAATGTATAGCTTCCATAATAAAACTACCTGGCATGAATCCAAATTAGTTTTGAGAAACATTAGTGTCACACCGCAATCTATGCTCCATAACTCTCTCCCATAGTTTTATATGACACGTTAACTTAATTCCTTTATAATTCGCACAATCTTGTGCATCACATTTATTCTTAAAAATATGAATCAACATACTCATTCTCCACTCATCTGGCATCTTTTTCATCTTCAAAATAATATTAAAAAGTTTAGTAAGCCAAGAAATTCCTTCATCAGTCTAACAGCTTTTCTACATTTCATTTTCTTTAAAGCCTCTTTAACTTCGGCTTTTTACTAATACGTCGATAAAAACAAAAATCTTTAATTTCATTTAGGATGCTAAAGTCACTAAAGTCAATCACATTCTCATAATCTTCATTGAAAAATTTAGCAAAATATCTCATCCACCTTTGTTGAATATTATCTTCTAACAAAAGCACTTTTTGATCATCATTCTTAATACACTTCACTTGAACTAAATCATTACTCCTATCTCTTTGTTTAGCAAACCTATACATATATCTTTTGTCATCTTCATTATCTAATCTATTATATAAATCATTAAAAGTTAAAATCTTTGTATTGCAAATTGCTTTCTTAGACTCCTTACGGCCTCTTTATATATTCCCTAATTATCAAAATTTTACAACTAAACCAATTTGTATAACAAATCTTCTTATTTTTTATCTTTTCTGCACATTTTGATTCCACCACCAACTATTTTAACTATTAGTAGCTTTTCTCTTTGATACTCCAAGCACATCTTTTACAACATTTTTAATATTACTAGCTACTTTTTCCCACATAATATTAACATCCTCATACACAGACAAAATCTTAAGGTCTAGAATCTTACTCTCAAAAATATTTTTGTTAATATTTTTAAATGTTCCCAAAAAATCCTAAAACAAAGATTTACTTTATTTTTACTTTCTATCCTTTCATCTTAAAGACTTGGAGATAACCAGAAGAATGATAGATAGACTATAACTAGAAAAAAGACTTGGCATGTAGAGTGCTGTTCTGATCCTATTGATATGAACGAAGTCTCTCTCTCCCCTATATGGGTGCATGTGTACTTGTTCACCCTCAAATATATATATAATCAATTTCAGATTGAATCTATTTAGTTTCGAGCTACCCAATCATGAGTCAAAATAATATGATTTTGACCTCGAGCGATCAAATAGAATTTAAATTAGCCAATAGTTCTTTTATAATTTGTAAATTATAACTAAGCTACAATACATGGCTGACGAAGAATTAAAAATGGGGAACAAAGTTAGCAACAACACCTCCAGAGAGCATCTAACATCCTCCACAGTTGGCCAAATGATTACAGGCTTCCCTGAGCCTAATGGAAAATTATCATGTGAAATTCCTGCAGACATAGACGCTCCAAACTCTGACATCCACCTTTCATCCAAAGAACCTAGAGATGAAAACTGCCATGACAAAAGTTGCTTTCAGTATAAATTACTGAATAGAATTCAGCACAGAACATATATATGAATATTACTGCAAAATGTCATGAGAAAGATTCTACAGCAAAAAGAAGGTAAAGAAAGATAATTAAGTTATTTTTTCTCCAGGTTTCATTATAACAGTCGTAAATGGAAAAGAGAATTCTATCTACAATTAAATTATAAAACCTGATTCCAACAAATACAAACATAATCACACTCAACCAGGATTCAGAAGATTAGGATTGCAAATGATTTCCCCGAACAAATGCCATCGCTTCCAATCATAACAATTTCCAGCCTACACATGGTAGGCACAATAATTCGCATTGAACATCAAACGTTCAGAGGTACTCACAGCTCAATATATTCGTGGCACAAAATAATGCATTCTGCAAGCTGTTAATAGGACTATAAAGAAGAAATAATATAGCAAAGCGTATTTCAAGTATAAAATCTATACTAATGGCAAAAACTAGAAAGCAAACGACTCACCCCAAAGACAATGAAAGACTGAAAGAAAAAAAAAAAAAGCAAGGAAGCACAATTGAGATTAATTAAAGCAGAAATGCATATGTAAAACTCTAGATACGATTAAAAAAAGTAAATATACGTGTTTACTAAGAATCATATTGATGAAAAACATACATGCAAGGATGATTAACTTAGGGAGTTTGCACGCTTAATTTTAGAAACCACAATAATTATATCTTTATATTGATTTTGAACGACAAAAGAAAACACAAATAGCGGTAAGACAAGCTTAGGCGAAATAACATGCATAGAGGTTAAGATCGTAAAACAATCAATTTAATCTAATGTTGCATACATGAATGGTTTCAACAATAAATCTCAATACTAACAATAAGATTAGTCTCTACAAGAAGATCCCTCACTCAACTCTTTCAATTTCTAGGGGTTAGCGGAGAAGTATTAACATTATCTTCATGACTATAATAATAACCACAATCAAGGATGTAACTATGAAGATAGAGAATCGGATATTGAGTTTACCCAAAGAAAAGAGAGATACGTGCTCCGACAAGATCGTTTGAGTGTTGGGGATGACAAGACAGCCACGGCGAGCTCCCGTTCGTTGCTTCCGATCAACTGTTGTAACTTCCGATCCGTTCAAGAGAGAGCAGAGCGATCGCGAGAGAGATCGAGTGCGAGGGAAAGAGTGAACCAGCAGCCAGGCCTTTGTTTCCTCTCCCTTTTATCGACGCGAATGCGTCGTGCAGGCGACATGGGAGAGGTGCTGAGATCGTGTCTGCGACGTGCGAGTGAATGGCTCGACGTGGAATGACAGAGTAGGTAAGATTTGATTTACATTTTTTTTTTCTTTCGTTTTGCTGGCCACGGTTTAGGGTCAACAGAATCACCTTAATTGGAGGGAATTTGAAATTCAAAATAATTTGAATTTGATTTCAACTATTTTCCAACTTAGTATTAATCTCAAATAGGAAACTAATAAAGGCTAGTTGAAGGGACCCAAAGGGAGCAAGGGAGGCCGGCGGGTTGAGGATTTGGAGGAGGCGACGGGTGGGGGAAATCCACCAGTGATCCGGCGGCTGGGCTGGGCTGGAAAGGTGGTCGGCAGAATGTAGAGGGGCGGTTTGGGAAGGGGAAAACGGGAAGGGGGCTGCCGTCGGCTATGGAGGAGAGGGGATGTGGCCAGCTGTTTGGGGAAGAAAAAGACAGGAAAAGAAAGAACGAAAAGAATAAAGAGAATACAAAACCAAGAGCTCACCCGCCGGTGAGCTGTTGGGTACTCCGTTAGCATCTCCTAGGCTTCACCACCACTCTCTAGAACTCACAAAGAGATCATCACAAAAGCTGAATTTTATTTCAATAATCATCATCAAAAATACAAGAGAACTAGTCTATAAATAGACCTCATGAAAAGAAAAGAAACAAAGACTAAAAGCCCTTCAGGCTACAACACCACATGACCATCCCTAGAGGTAAAATGGGAAAAACAAAAATATAAGATAAACTAGTACATAAGACACATCAAAAATAAATAAACTCCAGATCGTAGCCGTTGATCTTCCGATGTCCTCATTACATATTCCATAAGCTCATCCATGAAGCAGTAACGAATACAATCTAAAGGTCAGATTTTTCAAAAACAAGCTAGTCACCTGGTAAACAAGAGGAGATTTGGAGAATTCTTTGTCGAATTCACACTCTTCCAGAACTGTTCTCATTTTCATATGGCCCCATTTCTTAAGATTTGGACCTGAATGATATCCAGGAACAGACGCAATCAACCGAACCTAAGAGACCAGATGGGTTAAAAATTAAGATCTGCAATGAAGAGCATGCAGTGATTTCATATAAATAGAAAATGACCAATGCAAAGGAAAATATATACAAATAGAATACCGCAGCACTGCTATAGTCAAACTTCTTGAAGAATGATGCATTTATATTCACATCACCAAGTTTAGGAAGATTTACATTTAAGCCAGGCCACTGCATGTAACAAATGATAATGATTATATATTCCTCATTTGACATAAATAACAAACTACATAAGAAAAATACATCTAGCTAGACCAAAATGAAAGGTTATCTTGGGTTTGAAAGAACAAAATGGGTCTAAGAAATAATTTATATTTCACCATATTTTTTATTACATGATCTTATTGTGCAGAAAAAATAAGCATGAAAAAAAAGTTATATATAAATTTCATCATAGTTTTACACGTCAAAAATAACATAGACACAAAAATTAATAAGAGACAGAGAATGACTTGACTTTTTCTGTCACTTACCTTAAAAGGACAAACATGCTCTGTGGTTATGCTTGCATACTGACGATAACATGGCAACAAAAAATTTAGTCATGGAAACAAAGACCACCACGGAGTTTTCTATCCGAAATTTTAAAAGACAAAAATGCTCAATGATTCTAGTGCAACATAAAATAATAATATAGTTGTTCAGTTTTTTTTTTTTTTT